CCAATGAGAGTCACCTGGAGGGGCCCTTGCCGTCCTTAGACGACTTGGGCTTCCCCCAGTTCCCCTTCTTCCCGCGAAAGGGCTGCTGAGAACCCTTACCGGAACCCTCAGAGCGGGGCTTCTTCCCGGAGGAAGAAGGACCCGACCCCTTAGGCCTGCCGGACGCAGCAACCTGGGGCGCGCTCCGCTTCGGAGCGGCACCCAGGCGCCTATGCAAGGACCCCACAAGATCCAGTGTGTGCCGAGAGGCCTCGGCAGACACAGCGGCCTGTTGTTCCTTCAGAACCCCAGGGATCTTGTTATTAAACAGGGTCCGAGCAGACCAAGGCTGCGAAAGGAGCACCTCCTGATTGGCAGCGTCCAACCCTGAAGCAACCAGATACGACTGGCGCCGAAGAAAATGGCACGTGCCGGAAACAAAGGCCGAAGCCCCGGCAACGTACTCCAGGGAAGCATTCAAACCGAGCAAGCAGTTGTAAATGCGCTGGTCACGGTCCGTGGGAGAACCTTCGACCAGACTGGCCGCCGCAGCCAGGTATGTGTCTCCGTGAGACATAGCCAGCATGGAGTGTCGAGCGAGGGTGTCCAGCTGTTGCAGGGTACCTTGCGGTACCGTGGCAACCGGTGGGGCACGGACCCCCAAACGCTCCACATGGGCTTCCGCAGAAGGACCAGCCTCGGGAAAGGCAAGGTCATGAACTGGGAAAGACCCTTTTCTCCACGACGGGGGAGGTAACGGGAGACCCCGACCGGAGGCAGCCGTGAAGGCTTTCTCCAAAGATGGCTTAATCCCGCGCAGCAAGGTTGATGCCGGGAAAGCCTTGTCGGATGACTCGTCGTATACCTCGGAGGAACCCACGGAACCGTGGATACCCCGCGGTATCGGCAGGGGCTTTGGCATGTCCTCGAAGAGGTCATACACCATGGCCACGCGGTCCTTAACCGATAGCGGAAGCAACGGTTCGGGGGAAGGACCGGTAACCACGGCAGCCGGCGCCGTACCGGTGGACCCCGCGTCCGAACCCGCGGCCACCGAAGAGGCCGGGGACGGAACAGCCAGCGGCCTATCTTGCGATAAGGCCGCCAGCTTGGAGTCCACAATTTGCGACAACAATGCGGCGACGGAAGCCCCAGACAGCCCGAGGGCCGCAAGGGGATCCGCTGCAGCCGACAAGGAGGTGCCCGCACGGGGGCCCCGACCGGACGAACCGGCCACCACAGGGGTGGAAACGGACTGCGCGCACAGCCGGTACCGCTCAAACTCCGCAGGTCCCAGACCTTCGCACAGGGTGCACCGGGTTTCCTCGCAAGGAACCCTGCACCGCGGGCAACGATCGTGGGGATCCCGGGACGACAAAAACTTTCTGCACACCCCACAACTCCGAGGAGCAGGGGTAGAGGGGGTGGAGACAGGGGACATATCCATGTCAGACATTGATTGTTTTCTAGAAACAAAGAACAAAACATGGTTACAACGCACGCACCACAATGATTCACAAACGAACATTTTCACAAGAAAATAAACGAGCAATGTGAACATATAACATACACATATAACTTTTACTAAAGAAATAAGTTATGTTAACCCCCAAAACATACAAGAACAGGGGAAACGTAAAACACAACGTGCATACGCGAACCCCGCAAGTATATAGAAAAAAGGGCGGGAAAAATTTTCCGTTTGGCGGGAAAATTATAACCAAGCGTAGCTACCGCAACGCCCCATAAAAGCACAGTTTATTAGAGAATAAACGATAATAAATATCACCAAATCTTCAAGGAACGCTTCAGCAGGAGAAAACACGTCTTGCTAAGCAGACGAAGGAGACAAGAGTGAAGGGTGTCACATGGCAGCTAGGTGGCTACGCACGTGCTGCATGAGGTAATTGAGATCTCTGTGGTAGATTTCGCTATAGCAGCAGTTGTGGGAGACAACAGCCTCGGTATAACAGTGGTAACGTATTACTTAATGTAATTCATTAATTCGTGTATAATGCGCAACCCCTTCTACACAGCTGTGTATTTTGGAAAAAAAAGTGAGCACTATACTCAAGAAAATATGGTAGGTAAAACTGTGTTATGAATATATCGTATGTATCGCGATACATGATTTCCAAGTCGATGCATCGTATCGTGGGCTGTGCATCGGGATACAATACTCTATTCGCCGTATTACATCACTAATTGCTATATCCCCCTCGCATTATATGCCTGGGATATAAATGTGCCTCTACAACCTCATACCAGATTGAAGCACCTTGACAATCATTGCACACCTCAACGCAATGTGCCTCCACAACCTCATACCAGATTGAAGCACCTTGACAATCATTACACAACACCACACAATGTGCCTCTACAACCACATACCAGATTGAAGCACCACCACACAATGTGCCTCTACAACCTCATACCAGATTGAAGCACCTTGACAATCATTACACACCACCACACAATGTGCCTCTACAACCTCATACCAGACTGAAGCGCCTTGACATTCATTACACACCACCACTTAATGTGCCTCTACAACCTCATACCAGATCGAAGCACCTTGACAATCATTGCACACCACCACACAATGTGCCTCCACAACCAGATTGAAGCACCTTGACTCTAGCTTACATACTGAGAAACCTACAGGCCCTGGGGAGGATATGTACTAAATTCGAGGATGACTAATCAATGTGTGCATGCGTGCACGTCCGAGCTACATAACACTACTTTATTTTTCCTATATTTTTAAGAGATGGACATAATTCACTTGATGAATCAAATTGTAAGTAGTGCTCCTGGGTAAATTATTTTAAAAATGACAAACAGGGTGACATTTTGGGGGGCAACAGTGACACCCACCTGTTCTTAATCTTTTCACTGGTGGCTGGCTCACTAGCTCAAGGTCCTCCTCGGTCTCAGCTGAACCAGCCAATACCAGGTGACCTCCTGGTTCCTCGTCTGAACTGACCACGCTGTTTCCAGAGTCATCCTCTGTTGTGAAGATTTCCCCAGCTGAACTTGCCATGTCAACATCAGAAATAGCCAAATGTCCTTGAGGCTCAGAAGTGGCCATGTGACCTTCAGACTGCTCACCAGAGGTTGCCATGGGACCTTCAGACTGCTCACCAGAGGTTGCCATGGGACCTTCAGACTGCTCACCAGAAGTTGCCATTTGACCTTCAGACTGCTCACCAGAAGTTGCCATTTGACCTTCACACTGCTCACCAGAAGTTGCCATGTGACCTTTAGACTGCTCACCAGAAGTTGCCATTACCAGATGGTGTCCACAGTCTTCATCTGTACTGGCCATCACAGTTCTCTTCACATCGCCATGCACTATCTGTGAAAATGGAGGGGAATCTAATCAAGCTGTGACAATAAGTGAAGCCAGTCCGACATCATTGTGTCATGGGTACTGTAGCTCACCAGCTGTATATCGAGATTGCAGGTCATCATTTCAGTATCCCATTTGGGTTTTCATGGTTAAAACTTTACTTACAACACACTTTTTATAATGTCCTCTGTATTGAGCAGAGATTTCTTTGATTAAGAAAAGGGCTTTGTTGTTTATATTAACAAAAACATTGGTATTTTTTTTTCTCAAAATGCATCTTCCTATCTCATTTATGAACACTGTCCATGATATAACAAGAGTACCACACGTTCAGAACCTTCTTCTTTGATGTAACATTTGAGGAGGTTCCAAAGAATTTGTGATAACTTCTTTGAAATGACCTCCTAATTTGTTTAATATGCTGACAAAAGAATAATGACTGCTATGTCATATTCCAAAGTCCTATTTCTCTGGTGTCTACAGACACCCAGAAATATTCACAGTAACTGTCCAAAAAATTAAAGACTATCTGTAAAAAAAATACATCCCACGTCAAACCAAGAATCTTTTTTTTAAATATAACGTAACCTAATATAATTGGTTGATTTACATTAGTTTTTTTTCTTTTTTATGGTATTATTATTGCATGTCTACCAAAGATAAATTCCAGATGAAGCCTTCTCATATAGTAATTATTGTGCATGCAAGGGTTCAGCTTTCTGTCTTGGGATTGCCGAGGGTCAAAATTCATTCATGGTTGTGAAACATACTTGCCAAAGTTCAGCTTCCTCAGTTTTGGAAGTGATGAGTTTAACTGGGCTAAAAATACATTTGAAAGGTCATGGTCATAACGTAAGACCATCTCCTTGGTCTAGAGATAGAACGTCAGTGGTTCGATCCCTGGCCGTATCCTACCAAAAGACATTAAAAGAAGGTACTTGTCACTCAGCCCGACACAGTAAGGGGCTAAAACAAGGACTGGAAAGCTTGGGTCAGTATATTGTTTCTGAGTGGTGTATTCATGTTAAACTGCGGATTGGTGTCTCAGAGGGTTAGCACTATAAAGCATTAGTCCGGAGTAGTACAACCACGCGAACATGCACATACATGCACACGCTCACAATTTGGGACGTGACGTTAAACACCATTTCACCTCGCATCAAAACATGAAGGTTAATCAAGGTCAAAATGTACAATATCAGAAAAACAGAACTTTTGAGTGTCTTGGAAGCCACATCAAAAATTGCATTTCAACGTCTTTAACATATAGGGATGTCATCAAGCTTCAGCTCAATCAGTGTCACACCAGAGAAGATATTCAGGAAGCACAACAGACAAGGACAAACAGACTGACCTCAAAATGGCGGCCGTGCTCAAAGTTTGATGAACATTTATATGAGCACTTGATAGGACTGAGATACAATAGCTTGTATGATTCATGCAAAGTTTCAGATTCATGGGTTTGGCAGTCTAACGACAGATGGACCAACGGCGGCACAACGCTCATAAAATGAATTTAACATCCCTGTCTGAAATCTGCTTGAACATTTGGGTTTTCAAATCACTCCGGACGTTTTGTCTGCATGCCCACGTGTCTCTTACACAGACTCCGAATACTGTGTACATATATTACTAGCTGATTACATAATACTATACCAAATATACTCACGGAACACTACGTCGCGGAATACGTTGCAAGGATTCAGCATGTTGAGAAGTGGTAGACTGGTACTTGAAACAGCATCCTGGTTGACACATCTAGCTGTACTTCCGTTGCAGTGCGCGGTAGAGCGAATCCTACTTTCGCTTTCACTTTCAGAATCTTGCTCGATATACAGCAACAAGAAGTTCCCGTCCCGTCCTAAATATGATCCCATCATATCAATTGTCCTTCTCTTACTGCCATTTAAAGTTATTTCGTGAGTTCATGTTTCTACACTGGCTTTTTGCTCGCTGTTCTTAAAGAAAACTGAAAAACGGGAATACCAAAACTATTAATAGCTTCGTCCCGCAGTGTATAGTAATAGTTAATTCCATTGGTTGTTATTACAGATACAGCCTGGTTCCCTTGGTATGCTACGCTGGCGCTAGACTATGCAAATAAAGTCTGATATCAGAGACGGGGCCCAGCTTACACTATGTAGCGCCAGCGCGGCATACCCGGGGAACCAGGCTGTTTCAACTTACTGAATGAAGAGATGGAACACAGCTTCTGGCCAACACTCCACATTGACTGGTTCCCGTTCGTTCCTGCACGGACCAAAATTATATAGGCCCGTGGTTACTGAGAAGACAAATATCGAGAAAACAAACTAACACGATCAGTAAACGAAAATTGCCAAAACGCTTCGCCCCATTTTCCACAAACCTGTTTCCGTGTTTTAATCTGTGCCGCATATTTGGCTCATGAAACAGGACTCGTTTGCGAAATTCATGCTTATTCATCGTCCAAACGACCTTTGAGGCGGATTCGATATTCGATTTATTGATACTAGTATCTAAAGTCATTAAGTGATATCAATATGTAGGGAGGAAATAGTAAAATGGCGCCCATTGCTAACAATCATTGTTGCCTAGGGAGTTTGTGGAAACAAGGTTTGTGCGTGATTTGTTGTCTCGCGGAAATAAACATTTTGCCAATAAGTGTTGAATTCTAAAACTTGTAGCAGCGTATTTATATATTTGTTCTTTGTTATAACGTGTGGTACATGCGGAATTATATGCACCGTCGTAGGTACACGTAGATAAAGTTAGTTCTACACAATGTAACATGGAAAATGTCGTTCGTTTACATTCACTTTCTATACCATAAGCACGGCCTTCAGAGAAACGTTCTATTTGTCGATACATAATATTGATCTATACCAGTCCACTTTTGGTAGAGATATTTGTATATTTCCATTATACACAAAACTCATTCTCATAATAATCATTGTTGCCTGAGGATTTTGTGTGAACAAAACACTTTTTGTGCGTGAAATTGTGTCTGGCGGAAATTATTTAGATTTGTTTATTTATTTTTATTGCGAAAGCGCGAAGCGGGGGATATAGTATTCACGACCGTCCGTACGTCCGTCCGTACGTCCCACCTGTTTGTTGCCGCGATATCTCAAGAACTAAACACTGGATTGTCTTCATATTTGAAACTATGGTGTATATACAGACTCCGCAGACACCAGTCGGTTTTGGTGACCTTGACCCCATTTTCAAGGTCACAGCAGGTAAATCTGCTTTTGGAGTTGGAAAACGGTGTTGCCGCGATATCTCAAGAACTAATCTCTGGATTGTCTTCCTATTTGGTACTAGGGTGTATATACGTACTCCGCAGACACCAGTCGGTTTTGGTGACCTTGACCCCATTTCCAAGGTCACAGCAGGCATATCTGCTTTTGGAGTTGGAAAACGGTGTTGCCGCGATATCTCAAGAACTAATCGCAGGATTGTCTTCATGTTTGGAACTATGGTGTATATACAGACACCGCAGACACCAGTCGGTTTTGGTGACCTTGACCCTATTTTCAAGGTCACAGCAGGCAAATCTGCTTTTGGAGTTGGAAAATGGTGTTGCCGCGATATCTCAAGAACTAATCGCTGGATTGTCTTCATATTTGGTATTTTGGTGTATATACAGGCGGGGGACATTTCGTCACTTCTGTGACAAATACTTGTTATACATGAAATATAGACAATCATATGATTCGATTCCCAACATGGGCAGAAAGTGTGAAGCCCATTTCTGGTGTACCCCGTCGTGATATTGCTAGAATATTGCTAAAGGCGACGTAAAATCATACTCACTCACTGATTCCCTATTGGTCCTGTTTTTCAGTGACGTTCAAGTCACATCTTCAAAGCCTTAAACATTTGTTAAAACCACTTTAACAGCAAGTGGGAAACCTTACTGACAGTTGCTGCAGATTTGAGCTGAGCAGGTCTACAGCTACATCAATGGTGACACCATGCTAAAAGCCCAATATTCCAGATGCCAAAACAACTATAATAGTTAATGTTGTGATTCATTCTAAAACTTAATAAATACATTTTGAACAAAGCCAGTAAGTGTACATCGGGTGGTGTGGTTATTGGGGATGTTGGGGGTTAAAAACAAATCTCACTTCTTCAAAAGTTTAATAAGGGATGTCAGAGAAAATTATGTATGTTTTATCTTTATTCTCACAGACAGTCGAATCAAAGAGCAGCACATACAAGAAGTGACGGACAGGTTGAAACCAGGGAAGGTGGAGTGCTACCTGTGTGGTCCATCCCCCATGATAGCAAGTATAGAAACAATGCTTAAGGCCTGTGGCATCACTGAACCCAGCATTCACTACGAGAGATGGTGGTAGATGCTCTGGGATTGTATATTGGAGGAGTATCATGGCATTATGGAATTCCTATGGTATGTTTTATTAAGTTTTAAGCACATATCAGTTGTGCCCTTGACAAATGTAGTGATAATTCCAATTAAGTGTTGCTGTATTTGTCAAAAGAATTTCCATGAAGCCCTCAAAAACCTGAATAAAATCTGTGATCACTGAGCAATCTCAATTTTTATTGATTTACAATTTCAGGTTTTCAGGTAACTGTAGTACTTTTCCCTTGATAATTCAGGGTGGAACTGGTCCCTGTACTGCATGCTTGTGGTAAGAGTAACTACGAAATCATTGCTTTTACTGCTCTGCTATTACTGTCGGACATCTAGTGGTCGTTGACACATAGCTACGATTCACGCCTTCATAAGCTTCTTCTTCAGTAGATGTTGAATTTGCCCCGTCCTTCACAAGCTCAGTCACTGTACATTACAGAATATCATTTAACCTTACCCCCCTTGTTCCCGAACCACTTACCTTCAAGTACACCCAGTATTTCAACTGAAAATGAATTTTGTCAAAAGGACTGCACCTGTCAAAACAAAGGGGTCGAGTTTACTGTTGGGCCAATGTGTCTAAAATTCTTAACCTCGACAGAGACAGCAAACTCACAAAACTCAACTCCTTTCCTACTGCAACAGGAATAACAGTAGATTATATGTGGATACAGAACAACCCCCACCACCTCCCATGGGGTGTCTATGATGTCATTGACCTATGACCTCCATATGACCTGCCCTTGACCTCTGACCTCATTTGATATTTGTGAGGTCACATTATTGTCCTTAGGTCAACAGGGAGTTGAATAGGTACTGTAGTCAATCGCACCTCTGTCAATAAGGTATTGAGACCGAATTGAATAGCTATTTTAGGGGAGTTGACAGAATAACTCATTAATATGCAAATGTATGCATGACGTCACAGGTCAAGTAGGTTAATAAAGGGTCAACTGACCAGATGCAACCATGCAATTAATTACTTGACCATTAGTTAACCGTAGAACACGGGATAGTAATGAATGTCCCTATATGGAAATGTTACTACGACCGGGGTTGGGTTGGGTCTTGACGCAGAATGGAACAGGTTAATGTAGAAAGATCTCCCAGATATTCAATTACGTTAATAAAGGGTCAACTGATCGGATGCAATCATACAGTTAATTACTTGACCAATCGTTAAACGTAGAACAACACGTGTCTAAACACAAGGTGGCGGACGTTGGCATGCACGCTCACAGGCGTCACGTGACCTCGGTCAGACTTAAATTTGTCTGATACAGACTATACTAGACTCCGTCCGACAAGTTAAACGCTTGACTGCACCCTATACCATGGCCAGCCACCCACCTGTAGATGATATAGTCCGTTCTACATAGCGTATACATTTGTAAACACATCCAACTAAGCCTTTTCTTTCTTTCTTTTTTCCCCTTGGAATTAGACACCGCATAGTTTTGAAGTACAATGGGAAACGGCGTAGTGTACCAACTTATTATTTTAATAAATTGAACCTTGATACTTTTGTATTGTGTTTCTTTTCTCCAGAGCTGAAGGTTGAGTCACGTGATTTATTAATGAGATGCCATTCTCCATATAAGAAAAATCATACTTTTGAGGCAAAGCAGGCGTAAAAAGTCATATCATCCAAAAATATCTCCCACGGTAGATATCCCTTGTGTGAGATCAAGCGATACCTCCTTGGAGATATCACTACAAATGATGTCATTTGATTGTAGCAATATCTCCAGCATGACATCATATCCATTGTACCATCACTGTGACGTCACAATTGTCAAGCAGCAGCATTGTTCTGGCTTATGGCAGCCCAGAAAATGTCAGTAAAACATTTACAAAATAACACTCTAAATTACCTGAGTAAACTTCTTTTCCCGAGTATGAATAATGTCTTTCACAAAAACTCCCTTCAGTGAATCTACAAGTAATGATGGACTCAAATTTTTTAATATATAAGGACAGACATGCTTTCAGTAGATGTGTTTTGATTCATATGAATACAACGTTATGTTTTAAAACAATAATTGATGAATGAGTGTGACCAAAGTGAGGGCATCAGGTATTTGTGTATACCTCAAACCAAAATCTCAAAAATCTTTCATCAAAAAAGATCTACGTCATCAAATGTCTTTTCGACCACATGCAGCACATGGCCACATTTTATCAAATTTGATTTAAACACATCACACTTTTCACAGACAAAGTGGTCAAATTGGCTTTGACACCTCAAGATGACAAGAGGTACTTGTTGGCAGATGGGATCGAATCTCGACCCCATGGGTTTAATTCTATTTAGAAATTTGTAACTTCTAAGAAAGTATGACAAGTGCCTAAGCAAACAATGGTTACATCATCACGAAATGAAAACTTCGAGTGGGGTGTGATCCTTGAAATGTGAAAGGTATTTATGTATTTTGTGTTTGGTTGTTTTTTAAATCATTAATTGTGAAAAAAAAATTTTTGAACTTCTTAAAAGATATTATTTCTTAAAAACGTAAGCTAAGTTTTTTTTTTATGATAGAAACATTAACTTGTATGAAGCAAACTGAAAAAATAAGTTTTTGTTTGATAAAAAAAAAAATTCAACGAGAAAATAAAACTTGCATGAAAAAAATTAATAACAATGTCAATTTGTTTTGCGTGAGTGAAAAAACTCATTCGTGCATCAAAAAATAAATAATGTGTAAATTAATATATGACAGAAAAAAAATTATTAACAAAGTATTTTTTTCTTTTGCATGATAGACAAATAAAACTTACATAAGAAGAAAACATAACATGCTTTGCTTTCTATTCACAGAATTAGTGGGGGGACAAATAAATTTGAATACAATTCAACCCATAGATATATGACATGGCAAAGGGAATGTTCCCGCAAAGAGACGTTTGAATCCCACACCAGACAAGTGGAACATTTGAATCTGAGTCTTGCCGTGAGAAAACTCACGAATAAATCCTCATCGTGGCTTCAGATTATTTAGTGAAAAAATATGTTGAAGTAAAATTTATATTTTGTGGGCAAAGTCATTAATAAGTCATAGACCAGACAAGGCCACAAGAAAGTATTGTATTCATTGACCATCCCACAAGGATGACCGATTGCAAGACAGTAACATTTTTGGTTCGTAGGTATCAACCGAAGCACGCAGGATTCACTGCATCAAATAACCCCATTGGTGATGCAGGCTTCCCACCATCCATAAACCTTGCCGCCGTGATATAATTGTAAAATTGTTGAAAACGGTGTTAATCCCTAACTCCCTCACTGTCTCATGCTTATGTCAAGAATATATATTTGTTGTGAAACATTAAACAGTATCAGTCACATTGAGTGAAGTGAGTGAATTATTATTATTCTAGCCTTGGAAAAAATTGTCAAGTCTGTACGGATCAGACAAATTACTCCCTCAAGTTGCTTATGGTCAAAAGAGATCACACAGTTTGGTCAATCAAAGCTCAATGTATATTCTGAAACAAAAGCCAAGTTTGGAGTCCCTGGTGTAAAAAGATTAAGATACTTGGAGGATAACTAATAATTCTCATTCTAATTGAAATTTAAAAAATGGAAAAAGTAAAATAAAGAAATTGTAAAGTTTTTCAATTGAAAATATAAAACCCGGTCTCGTGAGAGAATGAATGAATGAATGAACCATTCATGAAGTTTATTTTAAAACACTTCTCACACTATTTCTTGATGACCAAAGTCCGCTTTTTATAGCGAACTTTGAAAACTAAAATTGTTCATTATGAAATAATGAACCTTGGCTTAATGTGCCAGCTAAAACTAACTTGTAACATAATATTCAATCTTACATACAGGCTTGACCCCAATTTTTTTCTATGGAGATGTACATATCTGTGAGCTTTGACTATTGTATTCAACAGGTCAAATCTGTTTGCATGGTTAGGTTCATTCATGGAATGAATCCGATGGGTCACGCCTGTAGACAAGTGATCTTTCCAGTTTCACATGATCCCTGAAAAAACGTCCATAGGTAAAGGAAACGATAACACTAAACTATAAATGAGATGGGTCGATTTATTTACAGGGACTTGAAGGTACATACGGTTATAGGGAAACCATGTTTTCTATGGGATAAAAGAGACGTTAAACTAACTTACGGGAATGGAAGCTGCAGTTAATTATGATTTAAATCTGAGAATCAGGTATCAAAAAGATCCCTTTAAGACCTTTAAGGTAAATGAAGTGTGCATTGTCAAAACACAAAACAAAACACAAACATGATCATAACACGTGTAGTAAGCCCTGGTTTGTATCTGAGTGCAGACTGATGCGCAAGTCATATAATAAAGCAAGAAAACGTTACATTTTCTCCAGTTTTAACAAACAGAAACTCCTATCTACAACAGGCTAAGGCATACAAAAGATGTTTAAATAAATACAAGAACAAATTTAAACACAGCGTAAGTAAACTTCTAAGAAGTAAAGCTAAACACTCACCTAAAGATTTTTGGAAAGTCTGAAATCCAAACCTCGAAGCCCTGAACTATTTAAAGTGAAATAAGGCACCTGGCATTGACCTCATAGAAAATGACTACTTAATTGACAGTATCGATTTCCTTGGATAGGTTTATGTAGATTTATTTAACATGATCTTTACCACAGGAACTGTACCCGATGTTTGGCTTACAGGAATTATTATATCAATATATAAAAATAAAGGTGGCATATCAGATCCAGGCTCTTACCGTCCCATTACTATTCTTAGCTGTATTTTAAACAGTAGATTAACAAAATTCCTTGATAGAAACAAACTTATATCTTCTTCACAAGCATGGTTTTGTAAAGGGCTGTCAAAAATTGGCAACATCTTTTTTACATTATACTATTATTAGTATCCCCAAACACACGAAGAAGAAGCTCTTTTGTGCTTTCATAGATTTCACCGAAGCCATTGATAACATTTGGAGAGTTGGACTTTGGCATGAAATGTTGCATCATGGTATTTGAGGCAAATTTCTGACACTCGTTAATAAATATGTATGGAAATATAAAATCATGGGTGTTACATAATAATGACATATCCGAATACTTTCTATGTATGTCGGGTGTGCGTCAAGGAGAAAACCTTTCACCATTACTGTTTTCAATATACTTAAATGATTTAGAATCACATCCCATATCACATGACTGTGATGGTGTTAAAGTAGAATATGTCGGTGATAATGGAATATTATGTGCACAATTATTTCTTCTTCTATAAGCAGAAGATACTGTGTTATTCGGACAAAACCCACTTTCTTTACAATATACTCTACAACATGGAAACTGACTGTTAACATAGATAAAACAAAAATTGTAATTTTCGGTTCAGGTGTAGCAAGAAAAACGAAATTATCATTTTATTTTGGAGATCAAGAACTCGAAATCGTTGGTATAAATGTCTAGGTATTCAATTGAACAAAAACATAAGATTTATCTATGCTATTAAAAGTTTAACTGCTACAAAAGCATTTTTCGGGGGTTTTTCGTTTGGAGAGAGGAGCAGTGACAGTAGTGACTGGTATCTGATGGGTGCAAACAGGTGTCGAGTGGCTGTCTCAGATGTCTCTAATTTCGTAGCTCTAAAAATCACGACGGCGATAGAGACCGTGATGTAGTTTGTCTCACATTCCCTGAACCATACAAGTAGAGATTGCTGCAGAGTGTTATAGTGCGCAAACTTGCTTAATAATTCATATCAAAATATAAAAATAATATTCAAAATTTATAAAATTAACTCACGTATCTTTACAGTCAAATCTCGGACATCTCACATACATGGCAGTAACTCACTAAGGTTGTAAAAGCACGCCGCAAGACATAAGTTAGACAATAGATGTCCGCTCGCATTACAGTCACCGGCTGCGTGTCAATTCCAGATTGACACGCTGACCAATAACAGTAATCCCCGTGACAAGTCGGCGGTCAGTCTAAAATGCCGACGGCTCAACTAAAACGCCATGCTTTGTTTTTTTTATTACCTTATCCACAATAGGTAGACAATTAGTTAGGTAATCTATGAGAATATTGTATCAACCCGGAACAACACATGAAATAGCAAAGGAAGTAATTGTGACAATAAAATAAAATAATGTTTTCAAAACTAAACCAATCAGAGTTTGCTATGCGTCCCTCCACTATATAAGTAGGTGCAGGTTGACTACCAAGTCACACTGCACCTGAATAAATCTTGGAACGCTAGCAGCTCTGATGTCATCATTTATTCTCAATTCTTCCATTCTATTTTAAGGTAAGACATTTTCATGCGTTGTTTCAATGGTTGTTTTCATTCATGTTGAATGTGTATTATGATTTTTGTCTCAGATTGTTTTAATTGTTGTTTTCAAATATGTTGAATGTATTTTATGATTATTGTCTTAGATTTCTTGAACATTGTATATTTTCAACCACATGCGTTGGTTCATTATTAAGTTATTGTTTAATGTATTTTGAATCTTCAATAACGTTAGGAATGTTTTCAATGCGCACTATGCCACTATAGGTGTCACTTATGAAGGTTGTAATCAATTATGTAGGTTGTAGTAATTTCGATCAATAAAATATGAAATAAATTATTTCTGATCAACCTCTTGATAACCGTTTGATAAATAAGAAATCTAGTACAACTATCAACAACGTCGTAAAGTAAAATATGTCATGTCGTCAATACGTGTAGATTCATTGCTAGCAGTAATGCTGAACTTAGTTAATAGTCCGTCAGCTTTGTTCTTGATAGGAAATGAAATACCTGTAACTTGATGTTAATAGTTGAATGCACAATGCTCGTATGCGAGCTCTGCATAAAATAGCTAAATAAGACTTGTATTAGAAGAACTACGGTAATGCGCGAAACTGTATTACCGTAATATATCTACAAATACGTCTATCATTAATGTTGCATTATTTCAGCTGACATTGGTATTGTGAATCATATGTGTTGTCTTTGTTATTGTGCCGTTATTTAAAGTTCCATCCTGATCTATTTGTGTATAATGTAATGGTGATTATTTGATATGTTATAAGGTTGAAGCGAAATGCTTATTGATTTATATTCTGAGTAGTTATGTCATAAGAAACCACGACGTTATGACAATTATTTGTAATGATATAATTTATGATTATTAGATATGATTATGTGATTAATTGAATTGAAATGTTTATAACACACTGCACCTGAATAAATCTTGGAACGCTAGCAGCTCTGATGTCATCATTTATTCTCAATTCTTCCATTCTATTTTAAGGAAAAATTACCGTGAGACAGCACGTTCTCAGCTAGTGGAGAATCAAAAGATCCCAACCTTCAAATGCGTGGCCAAAACAGAGGAGCTACTCCTACAGTGTTCCCCTACGGCCGGCGGACTACCCGTTCAAGCTCGGAAGGTGAAGACTCTACCCCAGCAAATCCCCCAACCATCCCCATCAACGTTGAAGTTGCAGATCTTCCTCGTGAACCAGACAACCAAGCTCCTACAATGCCTACACTCCCTATCTTCCTCGCTAAGTTCTCTGGTGGTTCCGGAGAGAGTTTTAAAGTATGGGTACAGAGGCTAAAGGCAACAATTAAAGCCAACAAATTAGATGACCTCAATCAGAAACTACTTCTCCATTCACATTTGGATGGCGAAGCAAAAGTGTTTTTTGACTCTCTCTCAGAAGACTTCGAGGGTACCCCTTTAACAGACTTCCTACAACTACTGGAAAACAGGTTTTCAACATCAAAATACTTTGATACATCAATACTTGAGGTACAACAGGGAAAGACGGAAACAGTGGATCAGTACCTCGACAGAGTCCAAAGACGCATTCTGGGAGTCCATATCCAAAAGGACATCCTTGTATCCTACGTCATTAAAGGCCTGTATCCTTCATACCATCTGTGGGTGAGAGGTAAAGATCCTCAATCCCTGGACGAGATTCGACAACATGCTAAGTTTGTCGAACAACACCACACCATAACCCCACCAGGAGCCTCTAAAGAAGAAGTGGATAATATAGTGGTTTCAGCACTGGCAGTCCATACATATCAACAGGACCGATTAAACGAGCAACAAAAGCATAAACAGTATCACCTATCTTCCCAAGGGCAGTACTACCGTCAATACCAACCATTCCCCCAAGAACAGGCCTACCATCGCCAGTATGACCAACGACATCCCCTACAGTCATCCTACAATCAACGTCCCCAACAACAACGACGCCCACAGCTACCTTCCCATCAATGGCAAAAAGAACGCCCAGACTTCCAGGACAAGAGAGGCAACAGGCGATATAACAACAAACAGATTGGACGCGATGATAGCTCCTGCGGTAATTGTGGTAAGGTTGAAAAATGTGTTCCCCAAAACACATGCCCCTATTATAACTTTGTTTGTCAAATGTGTAACGCGCAAGGCCATCCCACCAAACTTTGTCCTAAGCATAATAACCAATAGGATAAGGTGCCTGATTCTCATCGTGGTGAGGTCAGGCAATATGAAGAGGTTCATTTAGTTGCCCCAATAGACAAAAATACCATTTTAGCATCTATCAATTCAGCAAAGACTAAGGCATTGGTAGATACTGGAGCATCCATATCATGTGTAAAGCTTAGTTACCTCCAAAAAGCAGGTTATTCTCAGAAGCATTTATGCCCAAAAGAGTTCCTAAACGTGATAGGAGTAGGAGGTGAAATCCATCCTGTGTTAGGAACAATTACATTGCCTGTTAGATTAGCACATGTCACGTTTGAACACAAATTTCATGTCTTTTCTAACCTTCACCATGCACTTATCTTAGGTCTTGATTTCATGGAAATCAACAAAGCCCACATTGACATAGGCCAACGCACATTTTCACTTTGTGAAAATCTCATTTCTGTTAACCTAGTAGAAACTAACTCAGGCCTTGCTAGGTCTCTTAAGTCTTGTAAACTTGCACCTAACCAAGAATGTGATATCCCTGTTATCCTTTCTCGTACTCCATCTGGGAGTATTTGTTTACTTGAACCACTGTCACAACCTTCATCCCAAGTGCTAGGAGCTAAATGTTTGGTTTACCTGCATGGCAAGAAGACAAGAATGCGTATTTTTAACCCATCAGAAGAGGAAGTTTTTATCCCAAGAAATAGAGTGCTAGCGACAGTGTCCCATATTCAAGAACATGAAGTTCACACATTGACTGATTCCAAGCAGTCAGGTGAAATTCCATCTATCAACACTGTAACCTCAGAAAGAAGTGCTAAAGACCCAATTCAGTTTGATCTCAGTGAATCCGACCTTTCTGACACTGAAAAACTGCAATTGCATCAGTTCCTGCAATCCCAAAGAGATGTCTTTGCCACAGACTGGAAGGAGTTAGGTAAGACCAAACTTCATTATCATGAAATAGATACTGGTAATGCTGATCCCATCAGGATGCCCTTCTACAGACAGTCTGTACAGGTAAGACAGGAATGTGCAAAGCAGGTAGAGCAAATGTTGGATGCAGGTATTATTCAGCCAAGTGAGTCTCAGTGGCGCTCACCAGTAGTTATGGTTAAAAAGAAAGATGGATCCTTTAGATTTGCTGTGGATTATCGGAAATTAAATGCCATCACAAAACCTGTATACTATCCCCTCCCAAGATTTGATGATGTAATTGATACAATTGGCCAATCCCAAGCAAAACTATTTACCGTTTTGGATTGTGCAAGTGGATTCTGGCAAGTACCATTACATCCAAATTCTAAGAACAAATCAGCCTTTATCACACAAGAAGGTGTTTTTGAGTTTAATCGGTTACCCTTTGGCTTAAAGAATGCATCAATGGCTTTTCAATCTACTTTGGCCCAAGCTCTCAGAGCAATCAATTGGAAGTTTGTATTAATATACATAGATGATTTGATAATCTATTCCAAATCATTCGCAGAACATCTCAACCACCTCAAAGCTGTTTTTTTCCAAATTAAGAGAAGCAGGTCTCACCTTGAAACCAACTAAATGCAAATTTGCAGCCAAAAAGGTCCATTACCTCGGGCACATATTTTCAAAGGACGGTATTGCTGTTGATACAGACAAAACAGAAGCTGTCCAATCATTCCCAGTCCCAACTTCTCAGCAAAAAGTGCGCCAATTCCTTGGATTAGCAAATTACTATCGGAAATTTGTTCCAAATTATTCAAAAATTGCTGTTCCACTCACACGGCTGTTACAAAAAGAATCAAAATTTGATTGGACCAAAGCTTGTCAGAAAGCCTTTGACCAATTAAAATCAGCTTTAACTAGTGCTCCAATACTTGCCTACCTGACTTTACCAAGTCCTTTATCCTCACCACCGATGCAAGCGGTGAAGCTCTTGGTTATATTCTTGGTCAGCTTAATGATGCTGGTCAAGAACAAGTCATAGCATATGGAGGTAGATCGTTACATCCATGTGAAAAGAAATGGTCAGTTACTGAGCAAGAATGTCTTGCTATGTTAGAAGGCATAAGAACTTTCAGACCATACTTAGCTGACAGTAAGTTCAAAATCTATACAGACCACAAAGCTCTAGCCTACATTCAGACGTGCAAGCACAATGGAATAGGTCGTCTTGCACGTTGGTCTCTGATCCTCCAGGAATATGACTTTGAAGTTTTTCATCGTGCAGGTAAGTCAAATCAAAATGCTGATGCTCTCTCCAGAAGACAATATCCAGAACTAAAGAAACCAGCAAATACTGATGAATTCCCATGTATAATCTCAGCAAATCAGCAACCTTCATTAATTGAAGACAGCCCCACCAAAGTAGGTGAGTATTTAGAAGTAACGTTTGGCTACCTGGACAAAATGCCTTGTATAGCATCGGTCCACAGTCAGGAAGATTCAGTTCCTCATGAGGTAAGCAAACGTCAACGAGAATGCCCTGATTACATCCCCATCTTCAACTACTTGGAGAAGAAGGAAATACCACCCAATTACACAGAAGCTCAGATCAAAGGATTGGTTGGACGCGCAATGGAATATGACATAGTCAACAACACTCTATACCATATCTATCACCCCAAACACAGAGGCGCTAAACCTGGCAGACCACCTTCAGTGACACAGTTAGCAGTTCCAGATCAAGACCGTAAAGAACTTCTAGCTGCATACCATGACTCACAAGTAGGAGGATGCCATCTTGGCAGAGACTCCACAAGACAAGCAATCCAGCGGAAGTACTACTGGCCAAGTATGTACCAAGATATAGAAGATTATATCAAGACTTGTGACATCTGCCAGAGATGCAAGCCATTGCAGCACAAAAGAACAGCACCCATGATACCAATGCCTATTGAGGGAACTTTTGAACGCCTCCATGTTGACATCCTTGGACCAATGCCAACAACCAAGAACGGTAACAGGTACATTCTTCTGGCCATTGATTCCTATACAAAATGGACAGAGAGTTTCCCAATGAAGACGCTTGAAGCTACTGAAGTTGCAGACTTGTTGGTGAAAGAGGTCTTTACAAGGTACGGTGCTCCAAGAAGTTTGGTAACAGACAGAGGAAGACAGTTCACTTCCAAGTTAGTCAATGCCATCTGTGAATTGTATGAGGTGAAACACCACTACACATCACCCTACCACCCTCAGACCAATGGAGTGTGCGAAAGAAGAAATAAGGACATTGCACAAATCCTAAAGGTCTATGCCAACCCCCAACAGGACAACTGGGATGAAGTATTACCATTTGTCATGATGGGAATCCGAAGCTCTCCTTGTCAGTCAACAGGTTATACACCACATTATCTTCTCTTCGGGCGAGAAATGCTCTTACCCTATGACACCAACATCCTACCAAAGGAATCCATGAGAAAAGATATGACTGAGCACTTAAAGGAACTTCTGGATAACCTCAAGGTCACCAAGAACATTGCAAAACAGAACATTGAAGCCAGTCAAGAACTGTCCAAGAACAGGTATGACCAAAAAGCTAGTCAGCCCATATTCATTGTAGGTGACATGGTCCTCCTTCATTCTCCAGCAGTCAAGAAAGGTCACAGTAGTAAGCTGACCCAGAAATTCATTGGACCCTTTACAATCCAAGAAATAGGCCCTAACCACACCTACAAACTTCTGGATTGTACAACAATGAAAGTATGGAAATCACTAGTTAATCATAATCGTCTAAAGATGTATCATCAGAGACAGCCAGCAGATGAAATCATCCCACCCCGCTAACATCAGGAGATTATCCAACATCACCAAAACCAGGATCAAGGTCAATCAGGACATCAACAGGATGCAGACCAACAGGACACACCCCTGACAGACAACACTAGTCAAGAGCAACGGGATCAAGCAGACCCTAGGGATGATAACCAAACCTTTAACTTCACAAGGATTATGAAGAGAAGATGGAAAAACAATAACATTGAATATCTTGTAAAATGGGTTGGATCAAACCCAACATGGGAACCGGAAGATAACATTGACATAGAGCACAGAAACACCTTCAATGCCAAATACAACGCTAATGGTCGAAGGAGGCGCAAGAAGAAGACGTTCTTCAGTAGAGCCTAAGCAGCATTCTATCTCATTGTGCCTCTCTAACACTCAACTCTAGCTTTCTACTAACAACTGCATTATTATTATGGGATGAGATATGCCTTAACTTAGACACGTAAGTGTTATTATTAGTGCTAGGAGATAGAGACGGCCGCTCTACTTCACCCCAGACTTATCTCACCCCATCATATCTTTTTTTCTCAGGTAATCTGATGACCTGGATCCTTCTCTTTTGGCTCATGCTGCTTACTCCTGCTACTCTTGCTTCCAATGACAACATCATTCAGCGTATTAACTATGGTGTTATCTTCAAACCCATCTCTCAAATTCAATTCGCTAGTGAATATTGGCGTCATACGTATCAACTTGACATCCCTTCAACCTTTCATATCCCCTCGATCAGCGGATGTTATCATGACAATACAACTTGTCATTTAGTCAAATTAATTCATACGCAACTAAATTCAATCAAGATGAGATGTTCAGCAATGCTGAACGAAACAGTATTTCAAATAAATCAAATACTACCAATCTCATCATTTCCCGAAGGACAAAGATCCAAGCGGGCACTGTTAGGTTTTATTGGTCAACTGTCAAAGTCATTGTTTTGCACTGCAACAACCAATGACGTCAACATATTAGCCAAACACATCAATGCACTAACAAAACATGCATCTCTAATAGGCAATGCACTAACAGAGCATGAGCACAAATTAACATCTATCATGGCAAATGAAGATACTCGATTTTCAAATGCTCTTAAAGGCATAAAAATCAATCATGAAGCAATCAGATATGCTACAGCAAGCATTAAAGCTTCATATGATAATCTTCAAAATGCTTATGTGTCCTTATCGTCAGTTTTGCTTCACCAGATTGAACAAGCTGCACTTATTGAGCACAAATTGCAGGAATTTAAACTGGGAACTTTAGACCTACTAAAA